AAAGTGAGGTGTATTTCCAAATACACGGTGTGCTGCTTAGTCTGGAAAAATAAATCAAAAGCAAGATGCTCTACACAGTAGCCTGTTCTGGAGGAAGGGGGAGGTCTTGTGATTAGAAGACTATTCTGAAGTAGGTTCTTTTTGTAGCTATTTGGCTTTGTCCTTAAAAGGCTCTCATTAAGTACCCACAGGTACTTAATGCAGATCTTGTTAAGTAACTCCTCGCCAGAGGTGAAGAGTAATGTCTGTCTGTGTTGCTCACAGGCAGCTGATTACTATCCTTCTTGTATAATTATTTTATTGCCTGCAGCAAACATGGCCATTTGATGTTTTCCAAACTGTAAAATACTTCAGCTTCTTCTAGAGAAATCTCACTTCTGAAGTTGAACTGTCCCCAACTGTCAGCAGCTCAGCAAATTAAATAGTCTGTGACAGCAAAAATGTGCTTACGTAGAGCAAAGACGTGAGGTCTGGCCTTGGGACGGAGAAGGGGATGTTTCCTGTTCTGTGAGCTTACAGCATGCAGACTTTGGGCAGAACACAATCTTTGGGGACGCACCAATTTGCAGACAAAATTTCCAGCACTCTGCAAATTGGCCTCGAAAATGCAGTCACAAACTGCTCCTTTGGTTGTGAGCAGACACCTGCAGCTGGCAAGAGCCCCCTTTCAGGTAGCCAGCCCAGATGGAGTATGGCCCCTCTTCTGCTAGTCCTGCTGTTGTTTTTGTGCACCTGGAGGATGGCAATACCCACACTACTTTCGGCAGTGGATGTTGTAAAAGGGACCTAGAACAATGCACAGCCCTGTCTGTTGTTACCTTGTCTCTCACACCTTGCTCTGAGTTGTGTTGTGCTGAGCAGTGAAGTTTTGAGCATGCTAAGCAAGTTCATTAAAAGGACTAATTTTTTCACACCAGCGAAAGCATTTGCTCATTTTCTACAAATTAAAAAAAAAGTCATGGTTTTCATATGCTTTTTTTGAAAAATGTACTTGTTTTGAACTAATAATCAATGCAGCTCAAACCGAGTGACAAAGGTGAGGTGAGCTCCATGTTAAGGTATTTGCTGTGCAGATTGTAGCAATACGCACCATCTGTAGCGCAATCACCAGCATGCTGTATTTAGGAAAAAAGAATCTGGTTCTGAAGGTGTGTAATGATGTATGAACATGCCAGATTCTGTGCCAAGACCCTGTAGCACAGCTGGAAATCTATGACAACAAATCTGAAGTGATCCCTTTATTTTATAAGCCAAAATCATGCAATTTTTCATGCATTGTTTCTGCTGTAAGACAAACTGCAAAACTGTAGGAGTACGGAGAAGGTGGGGGGAGCATGTTCCTCTAGTCCTCACAGCTGTCCTGTGTCCTGTTTTATTGTCAGCTCCTGACAGGATTTATAATTGAATGCCTGGATAACCTCATTCCATGTCCAACAGGTGGAAGCACCCTTCCCCAAATTCCTCCCTGGTTCTTGGGAGCCACGTCAGTCAAGGCAGGGGGGGAGGCAGTCTGGGGGGCTCCAGCCTTTTGGCTGCAATAACCAGCTGCCCCTTTCTAATTTTAGAAGGGGTGTGCAAGAGTAGTATCGAGTGGAAAACTTTCCAAACCTCTCTCTTAAAGCTGCAATAACCAAGTGACTGTAAGATGAGATTGCGGCTCTCTTAAGTTACTGTCTCCATCCACCGCTCACAGTGCTTCCTGCAGTTATCTGTTGCTTTGCAATTTAGTGAGCAGCTCATCAAACTGGAGTGTGTAAAATTCTTCCTTTTTTCTCAGCTGTGGCTGTTCGCAGGTAAATGGTTTCTTTATTTATAATCTTAGAGAACTTCACAAGATGATTGCACTTTCCATAAGAATGTCTTTCTCTTCCTCTTCTCTGTGTGATGATTGCCTGTCACAGCTTTATGCCCATTGGTAAGGAATCTTTGAAAAAGTAATCTAAAATTTTGCAATTAAGTTCCACTGAAAGATACAGGGTATAAACAGAAGCCATGTAGAAGCAAAAACAGTAGACAAACATGGCCTTTCTAATTTTATTTGACTGAAAACAAATTATTTTCATGTTTGAGAAAATCCTAATGAGATGCCTTGTTTGCCTGAAGATGAAAAGGAGAGGCATGAAACTCGATTAACTGCTTCCAAGCAGAAAAGAGAAACTATTTAAAATCATAATTAAAGAGGTAGTGTGTTACAAAAGTGCTGAATAATTTAAATAGGCTGCCAATCCAGCAATATTAAGCAGTAAATTTAAGCAAACATGAGGTGATGACAGGGAATGTAATAATTTAATTATTTGCCCTAGTCTGCTGTCAGGGCTCCCATACACTCTAGTAATACTGTTTTCATTGACTGAAATTGTCATTATTATTATTATGTCTTCTCCTGCATTTGGGAGGAGCAGGCTT